ATATATATATATATATATATTTAAGTATTTAAGAAATTAAGTTTGAATGGTTAAATGATAACACAAACTCATCTTAAAAATGTCTTATTATATTTATTTTGATGAGGGTAAATAAGGGACAAATTTAACTTCATGCCTATGTGGCCAAAATTTTGGATGGAGTCATTATTTAATTCTAAATCAATCAAATCATGAAATATATGAATATGATCCGGTCAACTCCATCTTTTAATATAATATATCAATATTAATATTAAATTATAGAATAAAAAAATTAAATTAAAATATATCTTATAATATATTTGAAATAAATAACATCATTAATATAAATATAATATCACATATATATATATATATATTAAAATATATTTTTAAGTATTTGAAAAAATTAAATTTGAATAGTTAAACAATAATACAAACTTATCTTAAAAATGTCTTATTATATATATTTTTTTCAAGACAAGTAATGAACAAATTTAACTTCATTCGTACGCGGGCAAAATTTTGATAGAGTCATTGTTTAGATCTAAATCAATCAAATCATGAATTATATAAATATGATCAAATCAATTCCATATTTTAATATAATATATTAATATTAATATTAAATTGCAAGTTGTAGGATAAAAAATATATATAAATTAAATTAAAATATGTCTTATAATATATTTAAGATTAATAACATTGGTATAAATATAATATTATATATATTTATAAGAATTTAATATCTATATATATAAGTATTTAAGATATTAAGTTAAGTTTGAATGGTTAAACGATATACAAATCCATCTTAAAAATATATTGAATCTAATTTGAAAGCTCAAAACATATAGATTTGTGGAAGAATCGGAACTGATGTTAGTTGCCACGTCTAATCTTAACACTCACCGTTAGCCAACAGCAATATATATTTAATTTACGTGACAGACAGACAAGGATTTTTTCCTTCTTCCAATTACGCATGTTTGGTGTATCTTTTCTTTTACTTTTCTTCAACCCTTTGTCGGCTTCTGGTTTTATTTTATTCTCTCTTTAATTTTAAGACTTTTCTTCTCCCTTCATCCTCATCCTACTACTGTCTCATCTTAATCATCTTCTCTTGTTGGCACAAATGGTATAAAACGTTAAATCATGAAACAAAAAATTTGACAAGGAAAGAAAGATGGATATTGTTAAATCTAATGACTTAGTCAAATTGCGAGATAGAGATTGTAAATGAATATGTATATTTAATTTCCCAATTTTTTTTTTCATTTTCTTATTCTTCTCCATATCTTTATTATAGAATTTATTCTAATTTAGACAGAAAATAAAAAAGACATAATTAACTTATTATAAAATTACGCATTATTAGTGAAAAAGTGAGTCGCGTAGTGTCAATTCCATGTTTTCTGGCTTTCATTCGACAAAATTCCAAAATCGTTAACTTAAGAATGCACTAATGTCTTAAACAATCACAGCACAGTAAGGTGCTTCTTTGATTATGCATTTTAAAGTACAATTTATTTAGGGTAATTCATATTTAGTAAGTTATGACTTGCATCAGTTAGTGATTACCTGATTAGTCATAAATTTTGGTAGAACTTTTTTGATAATATTAAATTGAGTAGATATCTCAACGATTGTATTACTTTTTTCAAACATCTTTGTATACTAAAATAAGAATGGATAGAATTGAAAATACAAGATTGTATATATTCTACTGTGATATAGTTTTTCTGTTTCTTAAAACTGTACGGTGACGAAGTCGTTGCCTTGTTGGGATAATTATATATATGAATACTCTTCCTACTTTAATAACATTTGTTAACTATCCTAATCATATTTATTTTCGCATGCAATTTCAGTCAAAGAAAGGCAATACGAAAATGATAGTAGTAAGTATTGACTTTAAGAGATACGGTACTCTCTAGTTTGCTAATCTTTAGGTATAGACAATTAATTTATAATTTACATATAATTGCACGTGTCTTCACACGTGTAACTTTACTTACATAATTTCTTAAATTCATACGTATATATACGAGTTGCACAGCTACTTGATTAATGTTCTTCATACAAACTTAATTTGGTATTAGTCTTATTATTTATATGAAAGAAATATTTGAAGAACTTTGTAGAAAAGTTTCATGTTGTTGCATGATTGGGAACAATTTGTTAAATTATAAAATTTGCCATAGTTTATATGAAAAATAAGGCGTCACTACAAAATGAATGGCATATTAATAACGAAAAAAATTATTAGACATTATAATTGTTCTTATTAGTATAAATTTCATTTTATTATAAAAAGTAGATACTGTTAGTCTGTTACTATGTATTTTGAATATGATGCTTATAAAATTATTGATAATATATATTAGTT